AATGCTAGTCTCTTTGTAATTGAGTGACATCTTAACAAAGTCTAACAAATTTCCCTCAAAGAGTCTAGACATTTTATTTTGTCTCCTATTACATATTGAGGTAAAATTTTAGACAAGCTCAATTTGTTCTTCTGTGTAATTTCCCTATCTGCCTGGATAGCAGTTGAATTATTTCTTTATCTTTGACATTCTGTAGCCAAATCCCTTGTCAGGTTTTCGTAGAACATTTTGATTGACTTCTTGGAATTTTTGATTGTTAACATTTCTATTAAAGAGTAGCACAAATACAGTGTTTCAAAAATCAAAGCCTATAGGTAGAATTATTCCATACATGTGCCCATCTAATCATCAGATCAATAAGTAGAACAGCTCCAGCGTTCTAGCCCTTCCTTGAATCCTGGAATAGACCTTTATCCAGATGTCTCAAATTATGGGTATATTTTCCCTCCTTTAACTTTATTTCAGTCGACATGTATAGCATTACTCTTGCCTATGACTTCCTGTGGCCAGCGTTACATCTGTGAGACATGTCCATGTTGTTCCACGAAGCCGTAATTCATTCTTCTTTCTTCGCTGCTTACCTCAAGTTTTGGTGGCCTATTTTCATTATCATTATCATTCTGTCAGTTACAATGTAATTTCTCCTTTGACCCTTGACTTATTTAGAATTTTATTTGTTTAATTTCCATACTGTGGGATATGACTTGAAAACATGTATGATTCAATTCTCTAAAATGTGTTGGCATTTCCTTTATTTCTTATGTAAAAGTATTCTATATGTACTTCAAAAAATGTTTATTTTGCTGTTGTTGGATGTGATCTATATATGACAAATACATCAAATTGATTTATTAAGCATGTTCAGATTTTGATCCTTACCATGTTGTCTGGCTGTTTTAATTGTTAGTGACAGAGGTATTTTTTAAGTCAGAAGGAAAAAGAAAAATATTGGATGGTTTCACTTATAGGAGGAATATAGGGGAACCAAATAAGGCATCAAGAGAAAAAAATAATAGCAATAAAAAAAAGCACAACAAGAAAATAATGATAATGATGAACAGCTATATACCAGAGACATTTTGTGGGGGTAGAGTGGGGAATGGGATCAAAAACAGTGGGGGGAGGCACTATAGTCCAGTGCCATCACTAGACTATAGTGATGGCACATGGGTGATTTGGTGATGGGAAGCCCAAGGGAATTCAACTGAGATGGAAAAATGCATAAAAATATGTAAAAATAAACTATTATAAAATTTTAAAAATAGGAGGAAAAACAGCACAAAACAAAAAATAAACAGACAATATAAAGCAGAGACATTCTGCAGGGGAGGGGTCAAAACGAGGGAGGGAAGAGCACAAGGGACTGTGGTGATGGTGCAGGGTGACCTGGTAGTGGGAATTTTATGGGGACGACACCGGAGAAGAGAAAGCAAGCACTGCAAAAAAAAAAATAATATATATATATATATATATATGTATATATATATGTGTGTGTATGTGTGTGTCTGTATAATATATATGTTAATAGAATTTTTTAAATGACAGAGGTATTTTAAACATTTCTTTTTGACCACGCATTTACCTATATTCTCCTTTTAGTTTATATATTTTAGATTCCTATATATTGAGTCTGTTATTAAGTACATACAATTTATAATCTAGTATCTTTCTGGTGAATTGAAACATTTATCTTTATGAGGAAGTTCCCTCTTTATCACTTGTAATGTTTTTTCTTTAAAGTTTTGTTTGCTTATCAGTCTTTTCATGGCATAGATTTTTTCTTTCTTTGACTATCAACTTCTCTGTGTACTTCTCCTTCAAGAATTCTTTCTGTTGCTTAATTACTTCTCCCTAGTTAGGTTCTTCGCTTTTTACTTGTATCTTCCTTTCATCCAGAAGAGGGAACAGTAGCCAAAGGGGTGTGTAGTTTCACTTTCGCTGATTTAAAAACATCTGGACTCTGCTTTCTCTTTAGAAATAATGTTGTCAAGGTGTAAGTGGCTTGTACGATGTCAAGTCTGGCATTTTGGGTTCCACCAAGAGGAATTAGCCCAGCTGGTTGATCTGTTTCTCTCCACCACTTTGCATCTTTCTGGGACCTATTGCTATGCCACTATAATTTTAGAAAGGAAGGTGTATATTAGGAACTGCCCTTCTCTGCTCTGTGCCAGAATCTTGTTTCTCTTCTCAGTAACTAGTTTTTCAAATTTGCTGCAATATTTTCTGTTCTTTTCTGTGACAGGCTGCTGTTGGGAAAGCTTCTTCCTCACTTGAAAAATTCATATTTAATAAGTCTGGTTGTGGTTTCTTTTCATTGATTTTTTTCTTAATTGTGGATTTTCCTCATTTGGAAGGCATAGAGGAATGAAACGTGATGCAGTTTCGACTGCAACACTCAGATATTTTCAAGTGTAGCAGAAATCCACCCTGATGATAAGATGCTTTTTACCTGTGCCCCTGATACAAGCACAGGTGGTCTGGAATGTAAGTGAGGGGGCAGAAAAAAGAGAACGTAGGACAAGAGCGACAGTCATGAGCAAGGACAAAGAAACACATAGACCGGGAGCTGATGGTTGTGAAAAGTGGGGTGTGGGAAGAAGACACAGGGAAGAAGCTCAAACAGTGGTTTATGGGACATGTCAAGGAAACAATACTCAGAAGTTCTAGAACCCTTGGGGTATCCCTGCACTCCCATTTGCTGCCAGCTGTCTCATCACAGAGGACAGAGTTTCATCAAACTGCAAAAGTTGCTTCCTTTCATCACACTGGCTGAGCTCAAGGCAAACAACTTAGTTACATCCAACTGTCCAAGAGCCAGAGCTGATGCCCTGAAAGGAAACAAATGCAGTTGCAGAGTTTACGCGACAATCAGAAAGGAGAAAATCTCCCTGTGTAAAATAGAACTATTTGCTTACTGCTGGTGCTGTGGTGTCTTGAGCTGCAATGAGGCAGCAAAGAAATGCTGTGGTGAGGCAGCTTCCACTGCAGGCAGCGTGTGGGGATGCGCCAAGGACGCCTCAGACCTTGGTTCTGGATCTCTTTGCACTTTGTGCTTCCTAGGTTGCAGAGTGAAGTTGAAGGATGTGGGGAGCAGGCAGGAGGGCCTCTTTCTACCCATGGAACACTTTTTACACCGAACACAGGTTTTTTTCTGGGTGTCTGTCCTACATTCAAATCAGTGCTAACACTAACTTCTTGGAGTTAGTGCCAACCTGCCAGGCTAAAGGCCTAGGCCCGTGGACTGCCCCTACTCAAATCTGGGCTCCCTCACCTCTTACTAACCAGTGATAAATCAGGGGTTCTCAGGGCCCCCTTCTCAACTTTGATGATATTCTAGCACTGCTCACAGAACTCAGTTCCTTCTTCCTCAGCTGGACTAAGGGGACTTCATAGCACCGAAGACTCAGGAGTCTTAAAAGAGCCAATGAATTATCTATAAATCAGAGAAAAGGTCAAGAAATTAATTTTAAAAAAAATTTGTGATCACGTAGGTCAATAGGTAGAACCTTGGCAGTACCCCCAAATCTCTGTTGTGCTCCAACTGCCACCATGCCTTCTGTCCTACCCATGCGTAACCCCCATCTTGACTTCTGCCTATTTTTGAATTCCATGTAAGTAGAATCAGAGTGCGTTCTTTTGTGCCTGGTTCCTTTTGCTCAATAGTGTGGCTGTGAAATTCATCCTTGTCATGTGGGAACCTGAGGTTGGGTCATTCCCATTGATGTGCAGATTTTCACCGAATAATAAACAACACTTTATGGCTCAGTTCTGCAGTTAATAGAATTCTGAATTGTTTCCAGGTTGGAGCTATCACGAACACTCTCATGCGTGTCATTTGGTGCCCATGTGCACACATTACTGTGGGATATATATTTAGGGATGGGATTGCGATGCCAGGGAGCTTGCATATGTTCAATTTTAGTAGCAACGCCCAGTTAGTTTTCTGTAGCAGTTGTCCCAACCCACACGCCCACCAACAGGCCTGCACATGTTTGTGCACGCTGGATGCCAATCTGGTTGATTTTTGCCATTCTGGTACGACGTATGGTACCTCATTATGACTGTTGTTAGCCTTTCCCCAAGACTAATGAGATTGAGCATCTATCCCCGTGTTTAACGATTACTTTAATATCTGTTTCTGTGATTCAACTATCTTGCCAGCATTTCGATGGTTTCTCTGTCTACTGATTGATTTGCAGGAATTCTGCATAAATTCCGGATACAAACGCTTTGCAAATAGCTTCAACTCTGTGCTTACGTTTTAACTCCCTTCATCTGTGGCTTTTGATGAACAGGAGTTCTTGCTGCTGATGTAATCCAATTAGCTGTTCTTGTGCCAGCTAGAAAGCACTCCAGTTTTCTACTGGAGTTCAAATCTTGGACACTTGAATGTACACCCTCCAGCTCTTTTTTTCTTTTCTCAAGATTATCTATTCTTGGCCTTTTGCATTTCCATAAATTTCAGCATCTGCTGTGTTTCTTTCTGAACTTTTTAAAGGAATGCATTCAAGCTGTAGGGATCAATTTAAACTTGCCATTACACAAACATGGTAGATGCCTTCCGTTATTTAGGTCTTCTTTAATTTTCCTCAGCAATGTTTTGTACCATTCTAGTAGGAAATTTTTTCTTAGCTTTATTCCAAAGCATTTAATTTTTTATAACAAGTAGTATCTCTGGGGATTTTTGTTTTCTGTTTATTGCTGGTATATAGAAATGCAGCGATGTTTTCCGTTGACTGTAGATCCAGTATCCTCGATAAACTCACGTACTTCCCTGTCCCCCATTTCCCTCCTACCCCACCTCCCAAACTCACATACAAATTGTGATAGCTTCTATGTAGATTCTTTGGGTTTATTCACGATACCTACAGTCCTATCGTCTCTGAATGACAGTCTTATTTCACCTGCTCCCATCCTTGTACTTTTTATTTCCCTTTCTTGTGTTCTACACTGGCTCTCTGACCTCAGACCTAACAAGGTTTCTCCTTTTTTCCTTCCAGATGAGGCCGAGGCACATATAGACTATGAAGATAACTTTCCTGATGACAGATCTGTGTCATTCAAGGAGCTCATGGAGGGTTCCCGGACGGAGGTGGAGGAGGACAGGGGACAGGGAGAGGCCTCTGAGGAGGTCCCCAGACAGGACCGTCTGGCCTCCATTTCTGTGGAGGGTGAAAACACCTCCCAGGGTCCAGCCCTTGTGCCCGCAACAGGCTTTCCCAGTGTTGGAAGCAGTGTCCCCACCAATGCCCCAGGACCCCAGTTGAACCAGAAGTACTTATTCTGGTTTCCCGCTGAGACTTTCCACAAGCCTGAGCTTGAAAAGGAGATAGATGATGACACCAAAAAGCAGTTTCCTGCTGGAGACAACCACAGTGGCCTAACACTGGCCCCAGGTGAACCTGAGACCAAGATGATATATAGCAATACCGATGACCCATTAGGGCCATCCGTGGGCAGGAATGACAGTAAGACAGGGGACTCAATGGTGAGCAGCAGCGACGAGTCCTGGCTAGATGGCTACCCCGTGACCGATGGAATTTGGCGAAAGTTAGAGGCAGAAGAGGAGGATGGCGGGGACAAGGGAGATGGGTCAGTAGGACTGGAAGACAGTGCTTCGGTCACTCCCAATCAGCCCATTCTTGTGAAAGTTAAGAAGCCCAGGGATACCACCCCCACACCGAGGGAAGACATGACCTACGATTCGCTTCTTCCCTCTCAGACACTAGACTTTGTAGAAGCTTTGGCTCTCACACCCACAAATGGCTCTGAACTCGAGGTCCCCAGTAAGGGGGATGGTGACTTGACCAGCCACCCGTCAACTGTCTCTTGGAGATTTGCCACAGACAGGTTTCCCACGGCCACCCGACCCTCCGCATTCACCAGCTCTACCCAGGACACAGCGACAGCCATCCAGCAGCTGCCGAACCACATTCTCTCCACTGTGATAGCGGCCACCCCGGCCCCACTGGGCACCACTGCTCCTGAGCGCCAGGATAGTTTCCCATACCTGTTGTCTGAGGACTTCTTGGAACAGGAAGGTCCGGGGCCACGTGCAAGCGAGGAGCTTCTCCCAACCCTGGAGCCGTGTGTCGGGGACGGGTGTCCCAGCCTTAGCAGAGGTCCCATCATTGCCACCATCATCACCGTCCTGTGCCTGCTGCTGCTCCTGGCAGGTGTGGGGACCGTGTGGGGCTACCGCAGATGCCAGCACAAGAGCTCCGTGTACAAGCTGAACGTCGGCCAGAGGCACGCTCGGCACTACCACCAGCAGATAGAGATGGAGAAGGTCTAGCCGCCCGGGGCGTGTGCTCTCCCAAAGCCACTTGGGAAGAAAGGGAACTGTGCCATGAGATTGACAAACACTGATAGTTCACTAGAGCATGAACCAGGTGGAGCAGGGCTCGTCTTCCTCTTCCTCAGGTCTTTGTTTTACAGGCTGAGAAGTGTCTGGGGAAGCATCTGGCCCAGCAGGAAGGCTTGGGCATCCTCACACATGTCCACCAGCTGCCCCGGAATGTATTGCACTAACCGCAGACTTGGGCCCTGTTCTGGTGTGCGCTCACTCCTCACCTCTTGCTTCACCTTTCCCCCACTTCGTTAAAAAAGAAGATGACAGGCTCTGCAACCTGAACATTTAAAAATAGAGGTGACAAATGGAGCATCTGAGAACAGTGTTACTTAGGATATAGATATTTAACTTCTGGGAGTGGGCTAAAGAAGAATCACGAGTTATTTCCTTTTCATGTTGTGATGTTGCTGAGGACAGGTGAGCCGGGAGCCAGGATATGGTCTAAGAGCTTTGAGGGGTTTTTGTTTTGTTTTGTTTTGTTTTGTTTTGTTTTGAAATTGGAATTGAGGGTTGGCTTTACGTTGAGGCTGTGGGTGTGAGAAGTGGCAGGACACACTTCCACCTCTGTTCCCTCCATTCTGTGGGACGGCCCATCGTTTTTAAAAAACAAGGTTAGCTTTGTACTGGTAAGCACCATTTCCTCTCGGAAGCAGTGGGCTACTTGTCCTTGACCAGTCTGTGCCTAGGAATGTCTTAGAAATTTTGCCAGGACTAACAAAATTCAGTTCTGGTTTCCTCTCTCAGGATTAACCATTTCTCTGAACTCCAATAAGAGGGAATGACATGGGAAGAGAAAAATGTTGTAAGAAGGCCAGGGACTGGGAGGTCGAGTATCGGTACCCGCTTGACAGAGAAACAGAGGAATTAAAAAGGAAGAGAAAGGATCTCTGCCGATCCGTTCTTCACTCTATGCTGGAAATTGTGAGGCTATGAATAAAGCATGAGATTAGGAAGACTCAGCATACTGAGCAAGCCAGTCCTAAGGTCTAGATTATCAGCAAGTATTGCTTATGACAACGGCCCTCAAAGCCAGGCTCTCGGACCAGCAGCATCAACGCCATATGGGAACTCACTGGAGATGCACATTCTCTAGGTCCAGCCCAGACTCACGAAGAAGTTTGGGGCTTACTGGGTGGGGTCCAGAGGTTTGCGTTTTAACCAGCCTTCCAGGTCATTCTGATGTATGCTGTGCATAGGACGTGAACTGTGAACTTAGGGGCCAGCTGAAGCACTAGAGGTCCAGGCCATGAGTAGTCCCTGGGGTGGATAGCAGGAAGGCAGGCGTCGCTGCGTGCACCTGCAAGGGCATCCAAAGCCATCAAAAACACCACCCCAGTGGTCTCCTACTTATTGGTCCAAACAGAAAATATGCTATAGTTTTCAAGTACGAAAGTTTTTGGTGGTAAAATTGATGAAGGCGATACATTTATTTTGTGGTCAACCATATGAGTCCCAAGTGTTTTTGTGTGGCTAAAAGAGAAATCCTGATCTTTACAACTGAAAACTTGTTTCACCTATAGAAGGAAAGAATTTTCGCAACTTGTCTTCTACCCTGCCACCTCTTTTTGGTGCAAGCTTTGGAAAAATGACAGGTTAAATAGTTATAAAGGCTGTATAGTAGCACAAAGACCTAAGTCGTTATAGCTAGGTAAAACGAAGGCTGAAAGGTACCAAAAGGAAAACCTGTGTGTCAGATGAAATCCAGGCTAGGAATGAAATGTCTTCTGCTTGTAGCCAAAGCAAAACACAACAGAATAAAAGCCAGAGACTGTATATGTTTATAAGTGAGATTCTTTTCTAATCTTTTACAAGATAACTTTTCTATTTTTAACTATATAAAGCAATCTCCATCTCAACATTGGGATCATGTTATTCAGTTATTATGTTGTAATAACCCAAGAATATTCACTTAATACCAACACAAAAATATTGATACGTACATATTAATAATTTTACATATATATGAATACATGTAAATGTATTATTTTGGAGACATGAACTACAACATAAACCCAACACATTTAAGTGTTTATTGGTTTGGGTTCCTCTAACTTAATGTTATAGGATCTAAAAATTTATCTAAAACACTATAAGCATAAATTGTATGTCACTACATGTTTTTGGAAACACTGGTAAATAATTAATGCTCCTGAAATTTGGGAGGAAGTTATCCATTAACACAAAGCTTCTGAGATATTTAAAATAAATAATTATTTCCCCTAACAATGGCTCAATGTACTGTATTTTATATCTGGGTTATATCACGATGTTTTTTTAAAAGTGATTCTCTAGTAATCTTGAAAATAATGCCTTAATACCTTCTGGCTCTAAGACCATACTCTCTAAGCCCAGCTCTCAGTTCTTCCTGCAAGAGGATTTCAGACAAGTCTACAGAGACTGTGCCCTCCTTCCCGCCTATTCACCCATTGAGACCATGTCCTCACTGGAACAGAAGGCAGAGACTCTTACTATCCAAAGTGTGGTTCCCACATCAGCAGCACAAGGACTTCTCAGGAGCTTGTTTGAAATTAACCTCAGCAAATTTGTCCCACCACCATCAAGACCACCACCACCGAGTCTGCTGACTGGGGCAGAGACTCTAGTCTAAGATGCTCGGGGCTGGGTGTACATGGTGAAGCTTAAGAAGCACCAGCCAAAAAGACTACACTGATTCCCTCCCTTCTTGGAGGATTCTGAGAGGAGTAATTAAACAGTGTTAGATGCAGGGATGTCACAAAGGTGTGGAGAAGAGTTAAGAGACCATCAGTAGATGGTGGATGGCTGCCAGGAAACTACCCACAAGCTTCAGCAATAGAAAAGGCCCAGCTTCCCCTATCCACCTGCGACCTGGAGGGGGCAGGGAATCTTCAAGACCTGGACCTCTTCACTCACCTGCCTACATGGGAAATCAGGGAGGAAGTCCAAACAAGGTCAACTGTAGAGGTCAGGCCCTTTCTACTCAGGTCAGTCTAGAAAGGCGATTTGAGGGGGAAAATGGAGATGTCCAGCTCAGATACCATCCCCTCTGACTTCTGCCCATCTTCCATGAACACCAGGAGCCCAGAGCTTCCAAGTCCTCCAGTGCCATGCAGCCCACTAGCACCTGCTCAGACCACGTGACTAGAGGGACCCATCCAGGACCTGCCACAATGGCTGCTAAAATGCATATGAAGAGGACATAGGCCCTTCTCTACCAGAAGACTGTCTTCAGCCTAATGGGAATTCATTAACACCGGGTGGCAGGGGGTGGGGGGAGACAGATGGGAGTCCCACCCTCTGTCCCACTGGAGCAGCCTAAGGTGGCTGACATGGGCATGCAAAAGGCCTCCTTGCCTCAAGGTGGGACCGTCATGTGGTATAATTAATGCATGACCTGGGCTCCAAGACCTTATTCTTCCAAGCTCCTTCCTGCTTTCCTCACAGCCTTTCTCTTGAGAATACTCCAACACTTGCACAAGGCTTTACTTCATGAGACTTAAGATCCAGACTTAAGACATCCATCAACACTCAAGCTCTCAGTCACGACACCTCTGCTTCACCTCCAGTGTCAATGTCTACTGGAATTCTCGGGCCGATAGCCACAAAACCCCTGGGCCTTCCACTCCTTTGCACTGCTGATGTTTGAATTCCCCATACCATGGGTCTTTATTTTTGTAAGGGCTGGTTCCTTGATCTTTCCACCTGCCTCCTACTTCACACTTGTTCTCCCAGATAAAGCAGGGGAGAGGTTGCTGTCCTGACTTCATTTCAAACAGTAACTATGTTCACTTATCATATGCTGGTAGCCAGCTGCCAGCTCATCAGACTCAAAGTAAGTGCTGGATTCCAAATGCTTTTGCTAGTAGGATTCATGATCTCCTCACAAGAGGATCTTCTTGGGGAGAGGAGTGGGCTTGTAGCCCCTGAAAGGCTTCAGCCAGCATGCAGCTACCCTTGCCACATGTGGCCTGAGAGTCCTTAGGGAAGGCTCGCTTTGCTAAGTGAGTGTCACCAGTCTCCCAGACCTGAGAAGAGCTCTTCACAACATGTGTCCTGGAACGACTGGGTATGGTTAAGACATTCGCATCGAGTGGGAAGAGAAAGAAAACAGTAGTGAATATGCAAAATCAAGCATTTAGTGTGATTTTTTAAATCTTGTATTCAAGTTCTAGTGTTCCACAAGAGTGAGGTTGTACACACTCCCCTAACCCAAGTGGGGAGATTCCAGAAAGACAGCAGCAGCAGCATTCAGGGTTCAGCCTCCTGACAGCCACCCCAAAGTGGGTCGTGAAACTCTGGGCTCCATCTTACTTAACCCCTTCTTATTCTTCTCTGGGAGCGAGAGGCACCAATCTCTTACCCTGTCATCTCCAAGAGGGTGAACCAATTCACTCACACACTCAACATGCCACCAAGGCCAGATGTCGTGGGTGGGGGTGGGGCAGGGTGGGGGCTGGAGCCGAGGCTTGGGGCACAGGGTTCCACTACAGACACTCCACAAACCACAGCTGCTCCTGACGGCTTTCTGAGGTAGGTGTGGGCCAGTCAAGGCACAGCTGGACTGTCATGGTGCCGTCCCTCTCAAGGAGATGCCACAGTGCCGGGGTGGAGCACAGCCTTGCCTGGCTGTGGGCACAGGAAGTCAAATGCACAAAACCTTTGGCTGAGGCTTATTTAAGGTTCCTTTCCTTCCCCCTTCCCTCCCTTGTATATAGTCTAAACTCTCCACACTAGGTCATTCAAGCCTGGAGTCACCAGAAAAAAGAAGTCGCTGTTTGGGGGATGGCAGATGATCAAGAGTTCAGACAGCTGCGATGAAGGATTAGTTGTGGGTTTTTCTCAGTGCCTCGCTACAAACTGTGTTACAGTTCCATGTGCAAACACTATTAAACGAGAATGTTTTCTCTGGCACCCATCCACCTTCTCCCCACAGTTTAAGTATTGATTTTTTTTTTAAACCGAAG